GCCTTGCCATATGGGGACATAAACTCCTATAACTGTGGAATACCAGTGGGATCATTTCCTGTCAATTTCTGTCCTGAAGCTCAGGTGATGGCATTTGGCAGTGTATGAACAGAGACCATTCCATTTCTGTTTCACCCTAACTGCCCATCTGTTGCTTGAACTTTATGTGATTATTTCTGATAGGAGCCTATACCATTGGCTCCCTCAAATTCTTCTAAAAATGATTTCATGTCATCTAATTTTAAACTCTAGATGAGCTACGCTAGGAGCAAATTTTGAAAGTGTGGCTTTCAAAGAAGGTAGCAAACACATTTTGGGTAAATTTATGGTGTTCAGTTGACGATCAATTTATTTGAGTACTGACTTTCAATGCTGTGGAACTAAACTCTCTGTGCTTCTGGTCGAAAGAAGAAGCATGCTCTGAAATTGTACTTTCTCCACATTGCTTAGCATACTGAAAGAAATAAGCTGGCCTGCTTTCCCTCTGCTTCCATGGCAACATGCTACTCTGGTCACAACAGCTTTTCAGAACCTGCACTCTTCATAGCAGACCACAGAACCATGGACTCTCTGCTTTTTACTGCACTCTTCACTCAGCCCGTCATCCAGGCAGTCTGTAATGTGCATGACAACGTCTGTCGGTAGGATTACCTCTCTGTCTAAATCCTGTGCAGTTCTTTGTCTCCCACTGTGTTCATTCCTACCTGGTCTTTTCATCCAACCCTCCACAGCCTCGTGGGAATTGAATGTAAGTATGAAGGTGCCATAACTATTTATGCTACTTTGGAAATTTCTGCTCTTAAAAAAAATATTCCCTTCAAACCCCAAATCTGAAATATTTGAGACCAGTTCACTCTATCCATATCAATGGTAGAGGAAAAAATGGTGTAATTTGATTGATGGTTCTCTAGCTTGACTTGAGCTTGTGAGTCATTTAAATGTTTCTGTTTTTGGTGTCTCATGCCTCTATTTTCTCATGTCCCTTTCTACTCATTCTAGGTCTCAGTTGTATACATTCAAGGATTTTGAAGATTTAGCTCTAGTATAAATTTGATTGAAACTGTTTCAGAGTACTTCCACTAAATTATCTTTATACTTCTTTAATAATAATGTTTTCATAGAATTTTGAAATGATTAATTTTCTCCATCCCAGAAATATTTGATAGATTGTTTCATCAGATTGTTCTTTCTATCCAAATGAATTAGTGTATCTTCCTATTAACCTTAGGGTGCTAAGACTAGCATGAAACCTTTATCACCAGACCATTACAGGTTTTTCTTTTCCAGAGGTCTCAGCATGCCTGCAAGCATACTTTTTAAAAGACTTTAAAGGTTTGAGGAGTTGATGAGGCTGAAGGAATATTAGGAAAATGTTTAATTGGCCACTATAAACACCTATTATTGTAACATAGAGGAAGCCCTTCATGACTCTTCTAGAAGTTTTTGAAGGATGTGCTTTGTGGTTACTTGAATTTAATTTTCTATGCAAATATCATCAGTGTTGTAATTTAGACATACATTTCCATTCTGTTAAGATAACCCTACCTCTGATTAAATCAGTCACATTATTTTCAACTTCTAACAAAGTGGTAGATTTTCCAACACATCTGGTTAGAGTTCACAGCACCATTTCAGCACTGAAAATCAATTGCTTGACTGAGGACATCCAACACCTAAGGTTGTCCCTGGCATACTATAGATGATTATGGTATTACAGTTCCTGGGGCAGATCCTGCTGTGCTGTGCTGAGTCTGTTTCATTGGGTCTCCTAATCATGAGTGAGCATTGGAGTCTATATGTTTTTAGTATGTCACTTTGCACTCCTCTCCTGGGGCTTTGATGGTTTGGAAGTGTTGTGCTGGTATCTTGTATTTTCTTGCCTCTCTTCATGGCATGAGACAAGGGCAAAACTCACACATCCTCAAATGGGAAACACTGATATTTTTTGATATAGAAAGTTATTATATCCATAGACACAACAGGAACTTGAAAAGGAAAACATGTGAATTAATATAATCTTAAGTATTCTCTCTGTATTAAAGGGTTTTTGTTATAAAGATCTGGCACAGTAGAATTTCAAAATGGTGGTTGGCTTATAGGGCAAGAATCTGATGGATTGATGATTATATATATCCCTGGAGTATATTTATGTTGGTAACTGCTAATCTTTTATTTAAATAAAACAGCAATATATCAATTAGCAGTAGAAAACACATACTCTGCCCACACCTAAAGCACATCACCTCCATAGACTTCAACATGGAAGAAAGTCAACTTCAAAATGTTGATAAAGCTGTACTTTAGTAAGCTCTACTGATTAGAAAATATGAGCTGGAGAGATGGCTCAGAGGTTATCAATGCTCTATCCGGTCCATCGTTCAGATCCTAGGACCCACTTCAGGATACTCACAAATGCCTACACCCTCAGGTCCATAGGGTCTGATGACCCCCTCCTGGCTTCTGTGTGAACGTACACACACACACACACACACACACACACACACACACACAAATTAAGTAAAAGTAATGTTTAAACAAACAAACAAAACTTGAATTACAAGTCTTCTAAAAGCAGAAAGCTAGAGGGCAAACAGCAAGGAAAGTAGGGAGGGAGGAAGGAAAGGAGGATGAGAGAGAGAGAGGAAAGGGGCCTTGGTCAGTGTGAGCACACTATTACACAGTTAGTTGAAGTAGACCTACCCTACATACCCTTCTCATTAAGTTGGACCTGTGAAGAAGGAAAGGAATGTACAGCAAGATTGTAAATGTAAAGTAAAGATTGGAATGTAAACTGTTTTTTATCTTAAAGATTCTGTGAATGTTTGCAATGACTTTTGTAGACAAGAAAGGTCATTTGATGTTGGAATAGATCCCATGTGACATTGGAAATCTAGTATGTTTGGTGCAAATGACCTTAAGAGTGAGTCTGGAAAATACATGCTAAGGATATTGCATATTTTTATCATGGAAAGAATCCATGTTTTTCATAGGTGTACTGTTTATTTATAATGTTCTTCTTCTTATTATCATTATTATTATTTTAGCATTTTAAAAATTCTCGTGGTGGGGATGGTTCATACCACAACACATATGAGGATTTCAGAGGACAAGCTGTAGAAATGAGCTATCCCCTCCTGCCATGTCACTCTCAAGGATGGAATCCAGAAGGTTAGACTTAGTGGAAAGCACCTACCACACTGAGCCATCTCACTGGCCCTGACCATCTTCCATTTGTAATTACAATTCGTCTTGAGTGCTGATTGAGCACACAGATAAAAAAGACATCAATCCATAGGTCTTTTAACAGCTCTGATGCATGTAACCCTTGACCCAAATGTAGGCAATGTCAGAAGAGTGGGCATGGGAACACTGCAGCTGAGCTTATGTTAGAAGGAAATTATCAGCATTACCAAGAACCAAGCCAATGAAAGTGAAATGTGCTTATTGGGGAGGATTATTTTTTTCTTATGACCTTTAGGAATTCTTCAAATGACTTAGATCTTGTTTGGGAAACAAGATCACATTGTGGTAACTGCAACTGTAGAGCAGCCCTGCCTTTGAAGCAATTCAAGTAGGTGATTTGTCTAAGTGATAGAGAGATATGCTCAGGGCTGGTACTTCTTAGCTTCAAGTGGATTGACATAATATCAATATTTTTAATTTTTAAAAAATTTAATATGTGTGTATGTATGTGTGACTCTGTGTGAGTATATGTGTATGTAAGTGAGTACTAGCAGAGTCCAGAAGAGGACATTGGATCCCCCTTGAGCTGGAGTTACAGTTAGCTGTGAACCCCCTACATAGATTCTGGGAACTGACCTGGGTCAAGCAAACAGTAATCTTCCCACAGAGCTCTCTCTCTAGCCCTATAATATAAGCCCTCTTAATAAGTTATTGCCCAAAATAACTTTCCCTGCATCTGATGGCCTCTGGAGCTGACTTTTATTCTTAGGTGTTTTAGGCTGGAGCAAAGGAGAAGGGTTTCTACTTCCCACTTTAGTCATACTGAAAGTATCTTTCTCCAAGTAGTCACAGAGCTGAAAGGCCTAAGCAGATACTTTCAAGATGGCCTAACTGAAATCTTCAACTACACATTGGGATCCTAGACTATAGTTTATGCTCACCCTTCAAGCCCACCACCATACAGATCAAGAAGTACCAGAATTAAAATAAAATGCCCAACTAATTTTTTTGTCTTACAATTAATTGCCTTTTCTTTAAGGACAAGAAGAAGAATATGCTTTGGAGATTTCTAATCTCTCCATTGAAACATATCAAAATTAAGTCTGGAAGAAGCATGAACCAATGGGAATCTGGGATAGAGAAAGCATAAAGCATCATAAAAGTGGTTGTGCATGCTGCCCCAAGAGGGCATTTATAAGACTTAGCTCAAGAAGGGAGTAGAATCTACACCACTTCTCATACCTTTCCTAAAGAAAACAAATGTGAAGATAGCCATATCTCTGAGGTATGAAAATAAGTCAGGCTAGGGTTTACCTAACTCAGTTGGTCGTATGTTGTCTGACATGCACTACTAAAACCTGGTGTGATGGCACATGCTTGTACTCCCAGCACTCAGTATGTGGATGCAGGGGAATCAGAAGTATAAAATCATCTTTAGCCATATCTCAAGTCTGAAGCCAGGATGAGAATCATGAGACACTGTCTTAAAAAAGGAATGTTTAGGGGTGGTGAGGAGGTGCTGAAGATACATGGCTATCAGTGCAATGCCTGACTACACTATAGCAGCACTAAGAAGGTTCCAGATTCAGTGAGACAACCTATTTAAAAAAACTAAAGGGGAAAGCAATTAAAGATGACATCCAACTTTCTCAACCTCTGGACTACACATGTGTATATGTGCACATGTATATGTGCACACATGCACGAACACACCACACACACACACACACACACACACACACACACACACACACACACACACACCCCGGGCTGGGGTAATTCAAAGCCACTGCTATTGCTAATGTGAAATCATTTTGTTTACATGTCTTTGTAGTCTGAAAGAATGGCTTTTTTCTAGGAACCTATGCAAAATAAACAGCCCTTGGTTTGGACATGCCCTCCCTGTAATCTGATAGGGGAGACGTGTTTTCCCTCTACTAGACTGTTGGGAAACCAACTTGAAGCTCCAGCCCTTCCCCTGGATGAGGTTCAGTGATCTGGGATGAAGGAATGGACCTCCCCGACACACACACTCTGATGAATCAGTGATGACTTACATAGTCACCTATCTGTGAACTCAGTCACAAGGCCAAGGCTGGTTGCTAAGACGTTTTTAATGATGACATTGCCAGTGAGCTCATGTCTTATACTTTCCTGGAACCTACAGCTTGCTCCCTTGTGCCGTGGCCTTTATATAACCTGCTTCAATGCTTTTTTCGAGCTGGAACCTTGACTGGGTGTTTGATATTGCCTGCCACTTCCTTGTCTGCTGACTCCTCTTGCACCGTTGCACTCACCAGCCTGGCACACAAGGGCAACTCTCCTTCAGGAAGGAAGTGTGTCTGTGTGCCGGTGGTTCCGATCACCAGCACATCTTTCTTCAGATCAATGGAACACTGATGCCTCCTGAGCATATCAAGCCCTAGAAGGATATCCATGGGCTGCTCCTCCAGTATGGAGAAAGAGCACTGTAAGAAATCACCTTCAATCTGAATCTGGGCCAGATGAACTCGGCCCACAATCCTCTGTGTGCCCACTCCCTTAGCAACCCCAGCCCATCGCCGGTCCACCAGTCTCATGATGTTACATCTCTCAGCACAAGCTTGGCTCATGATAGTCATCTGGGCACCGGAGTCGACAAAAGCCTTTAAAGGATGCCCGTTCACTTTGCAGTTAATATAGAGCATAGCCACTTGTCCAAAACTCTCCGGAGCCTCTTCCATAGCTATGTTCATATTTTCTTCAATATTCTGCTGTCTGATTTCTTCTTCTATTCTAGCCTGAGCTTCCTGATCAAATGGGTCAGCAGAATAAAGACGAAACATCTCTTGTTCTCTCAAGGCCCTTTCCCTCTGCTGCTCCATCAGGACCTGAGAAAATGTCTCAAGGTTTCCACTAAGCAGAGCTTCCGCCAAGGCGGGGTTCCGTTCCTTCAACAGGGACAAGTCATGGGGGTTGGAAAGCAACATGCTGCGAATCAGAGCAGGGCTGTCCAGATTCTGCGCATAGGCCATATTCTCTCCAGAGGCCAGTCCGTGGGCTTGTGCTGATGGTATACGTTGCTGATGGTGATGATGCTGATGATGCTGATGATGCTGATGCTGATGCTGGTGTCGGGAACTTGATGTTCCCGGTATGGCTGACCCATTGAAATCTGCTCGTGGCTGGTTTGGGGTCCTTCCTGGAGCCCGAAGTCCCACATTTTCCTTCTGAAGTAGTACAACCATATCACCATCTTTGAAGCCATAGGTGCCCAGAGAACAGTGATCATCTGTAAGGAGCTGCTCCATGTAGATGAACTGAATCTCCTCAGCAGGCACACCAGACTCAAGTTCACAGAGGACTCTGAAGTTGCAGAGCTCAAAGTCAGGGCTGACCTGGAGGGAAAAGGTTACCTCTGTGAGGTCCCTACGCACACAGTACACAGTTATCAGCATGGTACACACTCAGGAAAGCCACTTTGGCAGAAAACAGTTGGTGGATCAATTGGTGCTGGTTTGGGCGAATGGCTGGCCGGCCCCTCAACACCTTGATATGAAACTCATTCAATTCTCAGAAAGGCAAAGCCAGTGGCCAGAATGGGGGCTGCCTCCCAGCCTCAGTGCCAGCTGATGGCCCCATTGAGCCTCAAGGTAACAAGTCCATGTGTGTATGTGCTGTTTGGAACTTAGAATGTCTGTTTCCATAGAAATAGTTAGTCAAAGCCGGTGGGTTCCAAGCCTGGCTCTTCAAAGCCTACTTAATACAGGCTGTGCAGAACATCTAAAGTCTCTTTACTATGTTACTGCTCAGTCTGTTTACTGTAGACTCGTATTCTACACACTTGTTTTTATCTCTGAAACAGTGCAGGTGTGACTTGGACACGACAAGGACCATGCTGTATTCTTCGTAGGACACATAGGTGCCTGCCATTGAGGGTAGATGAGTAAATCATGACCCAGGGGCGGGGCAGCGTGTCTTTTGCCCTGTCAACCATACAGAGATTGAATCCACTAAAGAAATGATGAGCTGAATGCAGAAGGAGGAACATTTTTCTTGATGAGAAAAGGTTAGTCATTCAGACAAATTGAGAGACAAAGGACAAAGAGGAAGAAGAACCAGAACTTGTGGTAGGAAGGAAATGGAGAGAAATAAAAAGGATTTGAGACATATTATGATTGCTGTTGTTTTCATTGAATTGACATAAAACGGAGCTTCTTGCAGCATATGAAGGATATTGGGGGGAAGCAAAAGAGCTGCCCAGGAAGCTGAGGGGGCATACTGACAGGGCTTGAAAGCCGAGGACTAATGGGAAGAGTGGTGTTCTTGGTTAGATGGCCACCACTGATGTGGGTCACGTCAAAGACAAAGTTTACATGCAAAAACAGGAAGTCTCTAAAGTGCAAGGCTGGGTAGAAATAGGCCTTTGCCTTGCCCAGATGAGTGAAATGAACCTCTGAGGAAACCAGCTCGACACTGATTCTATAGTAAAGTACGTGGCAACCCAGACGCTAAATATGTCTCTCTCTGACCTTGAGCAGCCCCACCACCCAAACATGCTCCTACCTCAAAGTAGAGACTGAAGACAAGGGTGATTGGGTAGAACTCTTGTGTACCCATTTTTCTCTATTTTAAAATGTTCTTTGCTATAAAGAGTTCACAGGTCTCTGGCTCCTCCCACCCGGGTGTCTACTTATGAACCAAAGAGTAGTCACAGTTCTGTGCCATGACCTCATCCATATTTAGGAATTTTCAGTTGTGCCACATGATACATATCAGCCTAAAAAAAGATTTTTGTTTATGTTTTTAAATTTCTGTTTCTCTTGTTTTTGTCTCAAATGAAAAACTATGTATCACTTCTTTCTTGCTCTAATTATCTGAATGTTTTCATACTTTTTTCCTTATATTATGAATGTTGACCAAATGTATAATGGGAAACACTAGCTGGGTTATGGGGACACAGTCATAAATGATGTGAAATGCATGCTGTGTCCTTATAGGACCTCACAGTCTAAAAGAGGACACATGCATACACACAAATTGGGGAGGCTGGATATGAGGAAGAAACCACAGTAGAATTCTGAATAGCCTGAAGGAAATCATTTATCGAGAGAACAGACATGGAAGATGGTGAGGTCTGTTGAGGAGTAAAAGATTCCTGAAAGAGACGGGCTTAGCAAGATGAGGGGTTGGTTCTGTGGTGCCAGAGGGTGGAGAAGCAAATCAGAAGGGGAGGAGCGTGCCCTAGTTTAAAGAACTTCTTAACATGGGGAAATATGTAAAATTTTAGGAAAAAACGTAACAAAATTTTCTGGGAAGAATATTAATTACATGGAGAAATTTCTTTTTACAGACCTTTAGACCTATCCAGACATTGAATTTATTTTTCATTGTTGTTGCATGTGTAAGCGTGTTCATATCTGCATGGATGCACAGGAACATGAGAGTCAGAGGTTGCAATTAGGGCTTTTACTTGGCGACTCCTTACATATTAAGGCAGTGTCTGTCACTAAGACCTAAGCTGGCAGACTCAGCCAGTCTGATTGCCCTGGTAGAATCCCTTGGTTCCATCTCTGGTGCAGGGATCATATGGTGGTAACCAAGCTTGTTTGGCATCTCTTGGGTGCCAGGATCTGAATTCCTGGCTGCACTACTGTGTTGCAGGTGATTTACCCATAGAGTCATCTCCCCAGGTCATTTGATTTCTTTACTGTCTCTGTATTCTGATGTTTTCTTAAAGTAAGTAATGGCTTCATGAGTTTGGGAACAGCTGTGATTTGGTACATCTTGTGCAAGCTATTCTGCTCCAGAAGACACTGGGAAAGCTGGTATGACTGGGATTCAGTGATTTCCTTAAGTACCATGGGACATTTTGTTCTAAAAACTCTATTAAATTATGGAGATAACGACTAGGTTTGTTTGGTGTGTGTGTGTGTGTGTGTGTGTGTGTGTGTGTGTGTGTGTGTGTGTGTAAGCAGCTGAAATTATTTTTGTAGGATAAAAGGTGTTTTGTGTTGTACTGTTTTTTTTTCTTTTGGTTTTGGTAAATCAAAAGTTGAAGGTTTTACATTAAAAGAAGCTAACATCTTTTTAAGTGTTATCATTGCCTAGATACTAAACAGAATTGAGTTTTATGGGAGTTGTTTTGTTACCTTGCTGTAATAATTTAGTTTTTGTGGCACATTTGTGTTGATGTAGGCTTTACTGTTTTACCTTTGACCCATAAGGAAGCAAAAAGTCTCTAGGTCTGAGCAGTTAATTCTCATCACAGGAAGGAAGGCTTGGCAGAAATAATCTGGCTTAACCACCCACCCGCTTTTAAACCTTTTTCACAAAACAGCTGGAATCTCCAAAGCTAAATACAGTCTCCCCAGGCTATTTGGTATTCCATGGTTTGTATATTGCTTAATTCACTGAATTTACGCAGCAGTATTGGTGATTCAATACCAGATGTATAATTTTCTTAACTCAAATTTTTAATTAAAAGCATCATCTGATTATGTTGTAAACATCGCAATTATAAACACTCCCAAACATCAAATGTGCTGTAAATCCCCACTGCACAGGCCCTGTGGACTGATGACTACAAATTTCACTGCACAGGCCCTGTGGACTGATGACTATAAATTTCACTGCACAGGCCCTGTGGACTGATGACTATAAATTTCACTGCACAGGCCCTGTGGACTGATGGGTATTGGGAACTAACCTGGTTTGCTCATGTAGCTAACTGGAGGTTATTGCAACTTCTTCTCCAGGAATACTTTAAATATTTCCTGAAATTTATTTCTTGGCAAATGTAGAACATAATTGAATCTTTCTCTGATAGTGAGACTCCTGCAAAGTCTTGTGGCTATCACTCAGAAAATTAGTTCTCATTGCATGGCCTAAACACTCCAGAGACTGGGGGAGTGAACACTGATTTCATACTAGCTAAGGAAAAACAAGACTTTTTTCTGTAATAAATCCATGGTAAAAGCTTCTATAATTCGCTTCTTTTTGAAACATTAATGCAGTGGTTCTCAACCTTCCTAATGCTCTGATCCTTTAGTACAGTTTCTCATGTTGTGGTGATCCCCAACCATGAAATTATTTTCATTGCTACTTCATAACTGTAATTTTGCTACTGTTATGAATCATAATATAAATAGCTCATATTCGATATCTGATATGTGACCCCTGTGAAAGAGTCACTCAACCCCCAAAGGGGTTGGAACTGCTGCCTTAAGGCAACAATATCAACAAAAACTCAGATAATTAATGGTTGTGCAATCAGTTGGTGTTTAAGGCATTATATATTGCTTTACAAACAAAATAAACATGGGGTTTATTTTTGTGAAAAAATAGAATATCTGATTAAATTTTATGTTTTATGTATATAAGAATAAAAGCCTATTTAGTACTTCTATTTGCTTACCCTGTTTAGAGTCCTTCCATTACAATCTGCCTGAAGGCTCAGGATGTTGCTCAGTAGCTGGGTAGGCTGCCTAGCTCTGGGAGGCCCTGAGTTTCTTCCCTAGTACTCCAAAACAGAGAACGTGTGCAGAGTTAAGGCCCTGAGTTCAGCTCCCTAAGACCAGTGTAAAGTTAGGTCTCCTAGCAGCTGTTGGTAATCCCAGCCCTCCTAAAGCAAGCTGGAGGCAGAAACAGGAGAAGCCCTGGAGACTTGTGGTTGACTAGCCTGGCATGTACTCAGAGGCAAGCACCATGAGACCCTGTCTCAAACAAGGTGGAAGGCGAGGCCTGACACTAGAAGTGGTCATGGTATTGCCACACACACATTCACAAACCCACACAGATATATCATATACACATTGATATCACACCCACACACATTTACAAATAAACACACACAGATATATCATATGCACATGGATATCACACACACACACACACACACACACACACACACACACACACACACACACAACCAGTCCCAAGCATTACCTTTAAAGTGTAATCAAGACTTAAGAAGAAGTTAAATCACCACTTGAGAGTTTCAGTGAAACTTAGAACAGAAGTGGGTTGTAGTGCAGCGCCCGTAGATTAAGAACTGTGTTCCTCCAGCTGCTTTAGATTATTGTAAGAAGGTGTGTTAGAACCACCATGAACCAATAGCATGTGCATAATCAAATATCTTTTTGCTAGATACGTTAAAAAGAGAAACGGGTTAGTCTCATCTGTCATTGAAACAAATACCACAAGACTGATGAAACACATAAGCAGATATGTAATTTAAGAAAAGCATGAGAATTCCCATCAGTCTTCAAGGAACTCAGCTCCAAGCAGCTCTTCATCCAGTGTAAGTTGGTAAGACTGAGACAGAAAGCATATGCTTGTGTACACACAGGAAGAGGGAGAGAAGGAGCCTGTATGAAACACAGGGGACAGGACACATTTATAAATACATAGAAAGGACAACTGAAAGCTTCTGTTACTCTCTTGCAGGACTATTTCCATGGCCACCTTGATTGCTACATTTTATAAACCATTTTCAATCCTCCCCCACGTCTGTCTCTGTATGTGTGTGAAGAACACTGGTGTTTCATATGCCCCGTGGTTTCTTGTAATCTCTTAAATGTAGTATAGAGATTATCTGGTCTGTGGGACTCATGACTTGCTATCAAGATGTGGATATTATTTGTAATTTCTGAAATAAACACAGTTTATATAAATTAAGTGCAAGTTTGAATCACAATGAGAAAGATGTTTGACTTGGTGGATTGACATTTATTTGTTTACTTTGATTACTTTCAGTCTACCTTAGGAGAATGTTCACATGGTCCTATTCACCATATATGGAAAATGTCTGATACAAAAATAGGAGGGCTAATAATGAGGCCGTAAGTACATTGAGTTCCTTTAAATTAAGAAAAGCATTCACTCTGGTTTTGCTTTATCTCACTGTCCTGTAATCTCCTCATTTACAAACCATAGTTGCTGAAGTTTAGGAATTTCCATAAGGCCTGATCAGAAGCTCTAACATACATAAAGCCACAGCAACTAGTTTCTTACATTAATGGAAATGTTTACATGCTCTCAACACTGCATTTATGTGCCCCCTGCTCTCATGAAAAGGAAAAAACTAATAACCTTTTGTGGCATTAATAATCATTAAGAATATAATGCCTTCCAGGCACATTTTGGGTGCCTGTCTCTTTAAACATTTATTTCTGAACATACACATTCATCCCTAGAAGCAACGGCTTGCATATGCTTAGAGAAAGTATCAGTAAGAGGACAATGAGGTCTTTGTCTTCATTATTATGCTTTTAATTTTGAAATTTTAGCTTTCTTACATTAAAACTATTTCTGAATTATTTCCACCATTTAATTTTTCTGTGTCAGATTTCTTGCCTTGCTCAACCTTGAATTCTT